CTTCTCCCAGTTGATCATCTGCAGTAGAAGGCAAGTGTGCCAAAGTAGTCACTGATGACATTCAACAAGTGTTTTGTTCTTAAAAGGACTATTGGCTAATGCCCGCCCAGCAGCACAATTTTTCATGCTGAACACGCCGTAGAACAACTCTAGCCATCTTGCCAGCTCTCTTTTCTCTTTTCTTCGTTTAAAACTTAAAAAAAAAAAAAAGAAGAAGAAGTTGTGTGCAGGCCTGTGTGAGTGCCAGATAATTTTCAAAAATTGGTTCTCTTCTGCCACCTTGTGTGATTCAGGGGATTGAATTAAGTCATCAGGCCTATACCCAAGCATCTCCAACCAGTGAGCAATCTTGCCTGCCCATTTTCTGTTTATTTGTTTGTTTCTTTGTATGTTTGGTTTTTAAGACAGGATCTTACATGCCTGGAGTAGTGGCACATGCCTTTAATCCCTGCCTTTGGGAGTCAGAGGCAGGCAGATCTTTGTGAGTTCGAGGCCAGCGGGGTCTACAAAGTTAGTTCCGGACAGCCAAAGCTACACAGAGAAACCCAGTCTCAAACAAAACAAAACAAAACCTTACTATGTATTCCAGGCCGGCCTCTAACTCACAGTAATCGATCCTCTTGTCTCAGTCTTCTGAGTGCTACGATTATAGAGATGAGTTACTGAGCCTAGCTAAATCAGCACATTTTGGGTTCCAAAGCCTTTTTGTCTGCTCGCCCTTTTTCTGGGACACTCTAGGAATTTGGTCGATTCAGACATGAGAATTGGAACTGTAGACTTCAGAATTTAGTGTAAAGGACTGTTAGCATCCTAAATCCCGTCATTTAAGAAGCAGAGCCTTCCTATGTGACCATATGTGATTTTACCTGATCTTTGGCAAACTACCCTACTTTTGAACATTATTTAGTCACTTACTGCTCACTTGCTTATTTATTTATGGACTTGTTTATTTATTTATTGTGTGCATGTGTGGGCCATGGAGTGCTTGTGGAGGTCAGAGGACAAATTAAAAAAAGTATTTTTATTTATGTGCATTGGTGTTGTACCTGCATGTGTGTCTGTGTGAGGGTGTCAGATCTGCTGGAACTGGAGTTACAGACAGTTGTGAGCTGCCGTGTGGGTGCTGGGAATTGAACTCAGGTCTTCTGCAAGAGTAGTAAGCACTCTTAGCCACTGAGCCATCACTCCAGCCCCCAGAGGACAACCTTTGAGGATTGGTACTTTCCTGCCTGGTTGGTCATTAGGCTTAGCGACTTTACTGCGAGCAGTATTGCCAGATCCCCGTTCCTTCCCTTTTTTCTTTTTCTTTTTCTTTTTCTTTCTTTCTTTTTCTTTTTTTTTTTTTTTTTTTTTTTTTTTGAGATAGAGTTTTATGAGTCCAGGCTGCTGATCTTCAATTCCTGATCCTCCTGCCTCTGGAGTGCCAGCTAACCCTACTAAAGCCCTCTGTAGTGTCTGGGGCAGCTGCACTGCCAGTCTATGATGGTGGAAGCAAGAGAGAACACAATCCAGTTAATAGCCATTCCCACTGCCCAAGCCCACAGAGAGCCACCCAGGCTTATTGCTTTGCTGTTGCTGTTTTACTTTGAAACAACTTGGGACTTCCACCTCAGCTTCCTGAGAGTTGAGGCCCCTCTTGATCCACAGAAAACACCTACTGTGTGATGTGCTCAGTCATGGCAGTTCTCATCACAAGCGCTGGGAGTACAGGAACCCCTGCTCCTTGTCCTGGAGCCTGTACAGAGGAAACTCACTGCCTGACTGGGACTTCAGACTCACTCTCTTAGCCTGAGCCAGCAGGGCCTTCAGGGGCTGGCAGTTCCCCTGTGATTTTCCTTTTCCCAGTTCCTCCTCCTATCTTTTTGGAGTGAACCAGTTTTCTCTGGGAGCTTTGCCCAGGGGTTTGGTAGGTAGCCAGGCCAGCGTGTGTGTGTGTGTGTGTGTGTGTGTGTGTGTGTGTGTGTGTGTGTGTGT